TTTATATTCTGCTCAGTCAGAGGCCTTCTTTACTCAGATGGGTTTGAAAAAACAACAAAGCATCCATGCCATGAGGATAAATGACCAATGAATCGTCCACATATCGTAGTTAATATGTTGGTTTGAGCATTGATGTGGATGGTGATCGGGTCTCAAAGTCTTCCATAAAGATATTGACAATTACCAACAATACTATTACTAATAAGAGCACCATTTATTTGTCTGTAGAATTGACTTTGGAAGATGAAATAAGTGTTGGACATACCATGTTTAATGGGAGATAAGTGGTCTTGCTTTATATTGTATTTAGTTTTCAAAATGTTTAGAGTTTTGTCTATAGGAATGTTTGTAAAGAGTGAAAAGATATCAAAACTTACTAGAAGGTCTGACGATGAAATCAGTTTTAAAATTTTGGCCATAGTTGTATGCAGTAGTTGTAGTTGGTGCTATAGATGCATGTTGAGGATTTCCTGGATAGACAGAGTTACCAACAAAGAAGTACTACATAGAATGGGTAAAGAGCGCGAACTAGTCGTAACTATAAAACGTCGCAAACTAGAATACCTGGGCCATATAATGTGCAATAAACAACGATATGACCTTCTTCGGACCATACTTCAAGGTAAAGTGCATGGAAAAGAGGTCCAGGACGGAGAAGAATATCCTGGCTGCATAACCTGCGAAAGTAGTTTAACTTAACCACTATCGGACTTTTCAGGGCAGCAGTCAACAAAGTCAGAATAGCCATGTTAGTGTCCAACATCCGTAATGGATAGGCACCGTGAGAAGAAGAAGTTGTAGGCACTGACAATGGGATGTAGAGGAATATCGGGTTTGTGAATTTTGGGTAGGCCATATATTTGAGGTGTTCTGGAAGACTTTTCATGAGGAATTATGTCACCAGGAAGAAAGTTTTTATTGATAATGACTTTTGTTGTTTTCTCCAGATAGTTATTGAATTATTAAGATTGGTCTGTGGACTGAAGTATTGAGATTTGAGAGTTTATTAATGTAAAAAGAAGTGTTTAGAATGACAGTGGCATTGCCTTTATCGGCCGGAAGAATGACTAGAGTAGTCTATCAGTAGACAGTTAGAGTCATATTTTGGGGTGTATTCTGTCACCATTCCGTTAAATTTTAGAGGCCTCTAAAATTTTAGCGTCCGCTAAAATTATTTTTGTATTCTGTAACTTATGCATCCGTTAAAATCATAACCTAAACCGTTAAAACTCCCGCTAAAACAGAATATTTTGGAGGATGTCAAAACTTGTCCTCTTATTTTTAGCGCCCGTTAAATATCATTTGATTATTTTTGTTTAGTTAGGTTTATATGATTATTAGTTTGTTATTTATATATTATACTGCAGATAAACAATTAAAAAGATAAATAGCTTTTTATAATATATTTAGTGAAGCTTTTAGTTGATAAATTAATAAATAATAATGAAAGGTAACTCTCAGTTTACTTTATAATCCGTGTGTTACATCTATAAGAAAATTAAAATTTTTTATTCTTTTTGTAGAGCTGAATTCAGATTACATCAAGAGATAATCCGATATAATATGATCAATCCTTTCCCATAACACATGGACTTTTCCCAATTCATTTAGGATTAATTTTATTCCGGTTAGAATTTTATTTTCTTTTAAAAAAACTTATCAAAAACTCTTTTTGAGATTTTGTTGTTCGTGGAGCACGAGACATAATAAAATTTTATTAAAACAAAAATAAAATCAACTCGAACACAAATAAACTGAAATATATTTTCAATAATAATAAAATAACAAGTCAAGTAGACTGTCAATTTCGTCATCTTTCTTAAGTTTTTGGCCTCCAACTTTTAGTTTTTGAACTTTGATGGTACACAAGGCAAATATCGAACACAGTATTTAATTAAATCTTGCCCAAGTACTTTCGATCACAAGATCATCCTCAGGGGCATTTCGTCAATTGTGGCCTATCCAGCAATAATGGAATGTCATACATGTAAACTGGGACATAACAAATACACTAAAGACAAACAAACACTTTAAAATTTAAATTGGAGAAGCTACATTTTTATATTATAGAAGCCGGAGACAGAATTCATTCTGTCTCCGGCTTCTATAATATAAAAATGTAGCTTCTCCAATTTAAATTTTAAAGTGTTTGTTTGTCTTTAGTGTATTTGTTATGTCCCAGTTTACATGTATGACATTCCATTATTGCTGGATAGGCCACAATTGACGAAATGCCCCTGAGGATGATCTTGTGATCGAAAGTACTTGGGCAAGATTTAATTAAATACTGTGTTCGATATTTGCCTTGTGTACCATCAAGGTTTATTTATTCGAACATTCAACCTTATATTGTTTTAGTTTTTGGTCAATTTTTACCTTATAAGTAGTTTAAAACTTTAAGAGGACCGTTAAAAGTTAAATTTTAGAGGCTTCTTAAATTTAACGGAAATGCCACTTTTTATTTAGGACAGATATTTATTACCTAATCAGGCTTTAAAAAGACCTTTTCCAGGGACTTATGACGTTGGCAAAAAATTGTCTCAGTTACAAATATTTTCAAACAGTAGGCTACACTAAGTTTTTTTTCACCTTTTAAGAACTTCTCCAATCGGTTTTTTGGTACACCACCACAGAATGTCTCTGGTCCCATAAAAAGAGTATTTCCGAGGGCTATTGAAAGTCTGAGATTTAAATGATTACCTACCTACATCCTGTTCCTACCTTCCCTTATCCTTTTAACCCATCAGGTTAAAACGTCAAAGCATCTCTTGTGATTTGTGCGATTTTGTTCTGTGTAAACTCTGACCCATGCATGATAAAATTTAGTTTTAATCTAAAATCATATCATAATACACCCATGAACAAAAATATTGAATATTTTGTAATTTTCTAATTTTTGTTTTTTCGAAATAAATTCTGGTCAATCAAGTCTTTTATTGTGAAGAAAAGTTTATTTTAATAATATGTAATTAACAATTTTAAGTTTTTATGCAGAGAAAATTGCGAAAAAAATAATGCTTAATATTATGTAAATAAGGTTACTTTACTATAAACTTAATTGCTAATTTAAATTGCTTAAACTTTTAACTAAAAGTCTTTTTAACTAAAAGAACTGCATGAGCAGTAACGAGTATTGCCTCCTCTAGCTCTTATTACTGCTTGCATCCTTCTCGGCATGCTTGCAATTGTAAGTAAATTTTGAACATATCCTTGGGAAATTGCATTCCATTTATTCTGTGCAGCAAGCTGAAGCTTCTTTATCGTAGGTAAAAAAATAATAAATAAGACTTACTCACAATCAATTTAATTTAACTATCAGACGACCGGTTTCGCTTTCTACAATATGCAAAGCATCTTGAGGTTTCGATACAAAGTTAAATAAATGCTGAAATGATAAAAACCCATATTAGGGTGTTGTCTAATAAAGATAAACAAATTAGATGTTATAAATTACAATAAATATGCCAATATTACATGTCTGTGGTTTTATTTTAAAATGTGTAAATTGAATAAAATTGTATAAAAAGTTTTAAAAGTTTAAACAGACAAGGTAAGACCCACAAATTGTTATAAAATAGTCTATTAAATTGTAATAAATAATAAATGTTGTTAAATTGTACACACACTTGTGTGGGTGTGCAATTATTTTTCAACTTGTAATTATCAAATTTCTTTGATAAAGTTCTATTGGCAAAATAGTAGATTATTGCAAAGTCGAGTTAATAAAATATTAGAATTAAAACAATTAAGGACAATTTGAACACACTAAAACAGAAAACACTTAGAAGGGACGAAACAAACATTAAATTTAAAAGGGGAAGGACTTTTATGCACTACATCTCAGTCTTGGGCACAATGAGTTTTTTATGTTATCTATTAGATTTTAGTGGTAAATTTGAAAGATGTAGGTTAGCATGTGACAGTTCTTCTTCGGATTCTCAATACTGCAAGTTAAGTTATCTAGTCTTATGAAATATGCTGATATTAATGAATGTCTATAAATTGTTTCAATTAAGATATCAATTTCAATCAATCAATTTTGATGTTTCAACCATGTTCTACCATCCATCAATTAATAGAGTACCGGCATGTAAGTAATGTTTATTTATTTGCTCATTTATTAACATTATTTTATTACAATTTAACAACATTTATTATTAATTACAATCTAATAGACTATTTTATAACAATTTGTGGGTCTTACCTTGTCTGTTTAAACTTTTAAAACTTTTTATACAATTTTATTCAATTTACTCATTTTGAAATAAAACCACAGACATGTAATATTAGCATAATTATTGTAATTTATAACATCTAATTTGTTTATCTTTATTAGACAACACCCTAATATGGGTTTTTATCATTTCAGCAGTTATTTAACTTTGTATCGAGACCTGAAAATGCTTTGCATATTGTAGAAAGCGAAACCGGTGATCTGATAGTTAAATTAAATTGATTGTGAGTAAGCCTTATTTATTATTTCTTTACCTATTTGAAATGGACTCACACAAGCAACACATTCATGACTTCTTTATCGTATTTGAAACGGGATTTCTTTCAGTATGCGGCGTTTTAGTTGATCCCACGTGTGCTCTGTTGGATTTAAATCCGAGCTAAGCAGTGGCCAATCCAATCTTGATTGAGTACATTAACCCACTCTATGAGTATTATCAGTAATCTAAAATTATTTTGAAATAATAGTGACTAAAAAAGAATTGGAAAATTACAAAATACTCGATATTTTTATCCAAAGTGTATACTGAAAACCTTAAATCATAATACACAATGTCGGGCATCTTTATGAATTTTATTATTTTAACCGTTAAAATCTTTAGATGCTCAGTCAAGTGACCTAAACATGTGTTAGCCTTAAGGCCCTTTCTAGAGCGATCTTCCTCTAGGCAGGATAGCTTTGCACCGAGTTGTCACCCCCTACTACATATACCCTCTTTTTTTGTGATGGAATAATTAAAAACCAATTAATTATGTTATTATTTTAGCATTTTTTAAAATGGCGACAACTTACAAGTTGGAATATTTTAATTTTACTGGTCGAGGAAGCCAATTCGAATGATTTTGAGTTATGGCAATCTAGAGTTTGAAGACATACGCTACGCCAAGGAAGACTGGCCGAAAATTAAACCAAGTAAGAAATCTTTTTAATAATCTAGCTTTGTATCAGAACATATTGAAATATCAAATTTATTAATCAATAATGATATTGCTAATATTGCCAGATCAAATGGAAACAACCAAAATAAATTATTTTTTATTAAGGTTCTAAAACTGTTTTCTTGTGGCATGTTAAAGTTAAAATTATTTTTTGTAAAATAGTTTCGAAACACAATTCAGATTTCTGCTTATAATCTGAGCCTTTTAAAAATTGCAAGGTAAACAGACGTTGATAAAAGATGTTAAAAGGGACATGGGGAATCTAAAATTTGCATTCCACGACATGTCTTTACCACTAAGCAGAAATACTTAGCGAATTGTGTTTCTTGTACTCGTACAGAGCAGATCCGAATAAAATGAAAAAGACAGCAAATATTTAATTTCACGCAAACAGCGCCTCTGTATCTGTTGATGCGTATTTCGACCTAATAGGTCTCATCAGAACAGTTATTCATAGGTGTTCTCAACGTGAAAAATCAATATTTTCTGTCTTTTAAGAAGCAACACTAAAATGGCTTCAATACGGATGCAATAGCGACATCTAATAATAAAATCCGTAAAATAGTTTCAAAACACAATTCAGATTTCTGCTTATAATCTGAGCCTTCTAAAAATTGCAAGGCAAACAGACGTTGATAAAAGATGTTAAAAGGGACATGGGGAATCTAAAATTTGCATTCCACGACATGTCTTTACAACTAAGCAGAAATCCTTAGCGAATTATGTTTCTTGTGCTCGTACAGAGCCACAGCCACCTTTACTTCCAAGCCATGAAGTAGAAATTTGGCAACAACGCGTGGTAGTCCGACCGTGGTTTGTTTTGTTTAAAATTTCATATAGGAAGGCTTGTAAAGTTTGTTGAATTTAGTGTTTTTTAACTTTATTCAAATGTTTTATTTGTAAATTGTGTTTAAATTAATTAGAAAATATTAATATAAGTGAAATTTCATTACATTTAGAACTTTTAGAAGATTCTTAACGACAATTTAAAAGGCAAGTACAAATATAACCTACAAAACAAACTGAAAATAATAATACTTTTGCTTCTTTTGTTTTTTGTTACAGATGCTTTGGCATTGTTGTGTACCTGGTTGCAAAACCAATTATGCCAGTACTTTAAAAACGAAACAGGCAGAAAGTACGTTTTCGTTTCCCAAAGATCCCCAAATAAGGTATACTGGGTTATGCTCTATTCATAGAGAAGCCTATACAATTACCAAATGTTCCGTAGTATGTGCCAAACATTTTCATGAAGATGATATTCAGCGGACTGAACAATGAGAAGATAAAGTTGGAAATGTACACATTGAAAAGTTAATATTTCCCAAATTAAAAGGCAATGCAGTTCCTAATATATTTCCTGAAGTACCATCATATGTAACTGTTCATCGTACTAAAGAAAGAAGGAATCCCGAAGACAGAAGAAACTTTTTGCAAAAGAAGAGAGACCAAGTGATAACATAATTATGACAATTAGACTTAGACAACAATATCCCATTGAAAAACTGGACAAGTAAAATTACAAGTGACTGTGTATATTTCTATGTATTAAACATTAATCAGTTGGGACACAAGTGTGATAATATTTGTGCCACACATAGTGTAATAGTTAGCAGTAATTTTAGTGTAATCGTCAATGTAAGTAAAAATAGATTAAGTAGAAAATAATTTGAAATGGATTTTACAATATAGTTAATTAACAAGATGGTCACAATTAGAGAACTTACTTTGTCATTTAGATCTGCTTTTTCGATAAGTGATAACAAATTTGAGTATTACATTCAAAAATCTTTTGAGAATATAGGCTATTTTAAATCGATATACAAGTTATAAATGGTATGTTACATTCAACACATTTTTCATGTATACCTCTCTTAACTTGGTCTATATAACAAAAAACCTATTCATACCTATTTAAAATTGCTACTTTCGTATACCTAAGTATGAAAATTCAACAAAAGTTATAAGTAAAATAGTAAAATATTTAATTTTCAATTAGATTAATTTAGAACCATATTTATATTGTTTCTGATTTCTTAGGATGAATTTTTTAATCATAATAGTTACACTGTTTTTTTAGAACAAATTTTAAAACAAAGTTTTTACTAAACAAATTTTATGTCTTGTATTTTTAATAATCTTTTCAAATGTCGTGTTAATGTATTGTGTTATTTATATGCTTAAGTACTTAATATTTAAAATTTCTAGAGATTCTTGACTGCATTTGATTATAAGATTAACTGTTTGACACTGTATTTTAGGGTGCAATAAATTTTACTCTAGTGATTATTTTATTGATAATATAACCTAAATTATAATAAAACTTTATATATATTTATTAGGTAAATATAAGGTTTTATTCATTTAATTTCCCTAAAAATATTTCTGTAATGAATTGAAGTTTTCAAAATATCAATTTCCTAAAATTCAAATTCGTTTAATTAGGTAGACCTTACAGCTGATTATCCGACTACCGACGTCATAGAATGCGGTGTTGCCTTTTTTACTTCATGGCTTGGAAGTAAAGGTGGCTGTGACAGAGCAGATCCGAATAAAATGAAAAAGACAGCAAATATTTGATTTCACGCAAACAGCGCCTATGTATCTGTTGATACGTATTTCGGCCTAATAGGTCTCATCAGAATAGTTATTCATAGGTGTTCTTAACGTGAAATCAAAAATCAATATTTTCTGTCTTTTAAGAAGCAACACTAAAATGGCTTCAATACGGACGCAAAAGCGACATCTAATAATAAAATCCGTAAAATAGTTTAGAACATCTTTTATCAACGTCTGTTTGCCTTGCAATTTTTAGAAGGCTCATATTATAAGCAGAAATCTGAATTGTGTTTCGAAACTATTTTACGGATTTTATTATTAGATGTCGCTATTGCGTCCGTATTGAAGACATTTTAGTGTTGCTTCTTAAAAGACATAAAATATTGATTTTTCACGTTGAGAACACCTATGAATAACTGTTCTGATGAGACCTATTAGGTCGAAATACGTATCAACAGATACATAGGCGCTGTTTGCGTAAAATCAAATATTTGCTGTCTTTTTCATTTTATTCGAATCTGCTCTGTACGAGTACAAGATACACAATCCGCTAAGGATTTCTGCTTAGTTGTAAAGACATGTTGTGGAATGCAAATTTTAGACTCCCCATGTCCCTTTTAACACCTTTTATCAACGTCTGTTTGCCTTGCAATTTTTAGAAAGCTCATATTATAAGCAGAAATCTGAATTGTGTTTCGAAACTATTTTACGGATTTTATTATTAGATGTCGCTATTGCGTTCGTTTTGAAGCCATTTTAGTGTTGCTTCTTAAAAAACAGAAAATATTGATTTTTCACGTTGAGAACACCTATGAATAACTGTTCTGATGAGACCTATTAGGTCGAAATACGTATCAACAGATATATAGGTGCTGTTTGCGTGAAATCAAATATTTGCTGTCTTTTTCATATTATTTTTTGTGTATATAGAGAGTGGGTGGCATTAAAACATGTCTATCTGCAACAGAATATTTGTATTTTTTTTAATTAAGAGAAATATGGGGATAAAACATGGACACCAGTTTTTCGTCTAAGGACCCATCAAGACTTTTCATTAAGACAAACTAGACCAGGTCACGGGCAGGAGGTAACGACAAATTGGGTAAAACAGAGGTTGTGACTTTAATTAGAGAATATTTGTAATTATTTATTATCTCATCATCATCGTTTTGGCTTTACAACCCTGTGTGGGTTCTAGTCTCCCCAAGAATTCTCTTCCAGTGTCGTCCCTATCCATCGCCTTCCTCCGCCAAGCACGTATTTCCATATTTCTTATATCTTCGTCTATATTTATTATCTAGATATAGCAATATACACATGCATACATACATATATACATATACATTTAACCAAATATAATCTAAATATCTATTTTTGCTTCTCAAACAATCTTGATTAAAATGTTAAAAATGTTGAAAAACTCTTTCTGTGCTAATTAAGTAGAAATGCTAGTTTTAGACAACATTTTTTAGTTCTTGGTATAGAATTTCTATATGTGCAGTATATTTTTAAAACTCCGGGTTTATATCTGAAATGTTTGATACAAAAACACTTGGATGAACCCAAAACAAATCTTTATTGACAACATATCAATCACAACTGGTTAATTGTTTTACCTGTAACCTAATTAAAATATAATGCGATAATTAGCAATACATGATCAGCGTCGCGAGTGGGGTTTATAATTACATGGTCAATACATTACATCACCCCACCCTAAAATTCTACTTACAACTAAATTTAGGAACACAACAAAACTAAACTTCTCAATACTATATTTCGAATCCAAAACGGTTAGGTAGAATCTTTTCTAGATCTTATTGGACGTCTATGTGGGATGCCTGACTCTTGGATAACATCACTATCCTTTTTAGAGTCTAGCTGAGGCTCCCCACATAGATTTTTTGTTGAAGCGTATATAAAAGCTTCGCAGAATGTGTTTCCAGCTGAATTCTTATATGGTTGGACCATCTATTTAGTAATCGTTCTCTTGATCTTCTTCCCGGAACGTTTCTAGAAACAACTAATCCCTTCAAACTATTGTCACCTCTGCGAAACACGTGCAGACATATTGTGGACAGCCTTTTTTTAATCTCAAGTTTGTTTAGAATGAAAACGTTTGTCCTATAAGCTGTCCAAATATGCGCAGCATTCTTCCACAGCACCAAATCTGAAAGGAAAAAATTTTTTGGAACATCGTTGGAACATATCAACCTCCAGCAGACATATAAACGGCTGCGGTAGTAGATACATCTCGTTTGGCAAATACTACTTGACCAACTTGTTTCCAACCTCTTTTGGCAACACTCTTCCAATCCAATCTCCAGTTTTTTCCTGGTACTGTATCCACAGACGTCATATCTACATTCTATATCCTGAGTTGAACGAATGGCCTTTTATCCAATATAACCTTAA